GAGCACCACTGTGGCCCCCCCTGGACCCCTCATAGCACCACTGTGTCCTCCTGGACCCTCCATGGCACTGCTGTGTCCCTCACCTTGGGGCAGAGCCAGGGACACCCCCAGGGGACACACACACCCCCCTATTGCTTTTCCCAGGGAAGACTAAAGCTTCTCTAAAGCTTCAGGGGTCCCTCCTCCAGAGAGACCCTGCCCCCCCCGGAAGGAGGCATCACCCTGGGGAGCCAAACACAAGAGCTGCCCTACAGACACCCCTCTGCCCGGCCCCATGGAAAGCTTTGCTCTGCCAAAACACCCCAAAAAGTGCAGATCCCCCACTGGTGCAGCAGTCTGAGGGACCCCCAAATACCCCCCAAAACCCAGCCCCTGGGGGCACACATCTCTGCTGCCACCGGTGCCCACCCAACTCAGAGCTCACCAGAAACCACCTCCCCAGAGGGAACTGGTTCCATCACGGACTAAAACCCGGACAGGGGCAACAGGACCCCCCCTCAGGCTGCTGTGGGCGCTGACCCCGTGGCAGAACGTGCCCGAGGTGATGCTCAGGGCTCACTGGAGTCACCAGGAACGGTGCTGGTGCCTCAGGAGAAGTTTGGTTCAAGCCCAACTGGTCATTGCCGGGTCCGGCATGGAAGGAAGACTTCAAGGCGGCTTCCGCCCACCCAACTCAGAGCTCACCAGAAACCACCTCCCCAGAGGGAACTGGTTCCATCACGGACTAAAACCTGGGCAGGGGCAACAGGACCCCCCCTCCGGCTGCCGTGGGCGCTGACCCCCTGGCAGAACATGCCCGAGGTGATGCTCAGGGCTCACTGGAGTCACCAGGAACGGTGCTGGTGCCTCAGGAGAAGTTTGGTTCAAGCCCAACTGGTCATTGCCGGGTCTGGCATGGAAGGAAGACTTCAAGGCGGCTTCCAAAAAGGTGGGAAAAATCAACCAGACTGTGCAATTCCATCAGGAAAGGGCAGAAAAGGTCCAGAAACAAGAGACTGCAACACATGGCTATGCACGACACCAGAAGTTTCTACTTGGTTTTGTTTTGTCTTTTAACTGCACACTCACTACCATAAAGAGATGGAGTCGACTAATTAGCGGATGAGCGGAAACGTGTAACTGGACAAGTCTAAAAAAAATCACTACTACATAGGAAGGGCAGTTTACAAAAAGAAGTGGAGGGACTTTGGTCTGAACTCTGCTGTCATTCCCACCCATGTTAATGCTGAAGGGACCTCACCAGGACCCACCTCAAGCAGACCCTTGCCCGAAGCTGCGCGGTGTGGTCTCCTGTGAGCACGACCTACGTGGGCAATCCTGGGCCTGGAGCAGGGCAGGGGTCCAAGAGCAGAAGCCAAGGGTGGTGGGACGTGGGGCAGGGTGGGAGACCCCTGCCTGATGCCACCATCCCCTTCCTGCCCAGCTCTGCTGGTGGCATTGTCTCAGAGGGGCACGGCACCGGTGGTAGCCCCCACGCTGTGGAAAGACTTGACCTGGGGGACCAGCAGGCAGGCTGGTGTGCCAGCACCCACCAAAACCACCCACCCCAGCAGGAGCTGGGCGATGGGACCTGTCTCTAGAGCAACACACCACAGGGGAGCCAGCAGAACTGCACTTCCCTGGCAAACTGTTGGGCAAAATTCCCTTTTTAATGCTATTTAACGATCCCCCTGCCCGTGGAGAGGGGGGGCTGAGTCTTCTCCTGCCACGGCAGACCCAGCCAAGACCACGGGAGCAAAGGAAGGGGCTCCCTGGCTTTGGGCTGGCTCAGGAGGCAACTGGCTTCTTCCTCTCGTTTCTCACAAGGGGCTGAGCAAGCTTTGGTGTCATGGTCAATTTAGAAGCCATTTTTCCAAAAAAAGCCTCCCACATCCTACTCCTGAAATCCATCTCTTGTGCCGAGAGAGGCCCATCCTTTGGAAGTCTGTGCCTAAAACCCATCCCTGGCCAGCCCTGAGGCATCTCACGTGATAAACACAGCAGGGACCACAGCTCTGCGAAACTGGGGGCAGACACAGGCTTTTTGGGCTTCTTTCTCTCTACCTTGATGATGTATCGGGCTCCAGAAGCCTGGAAATACCCTTCCCTTCCACAACAAGCTGCCAGGAGCCGGGGGACCTGCCTGCTGCAAGCTCCCTGCGAGCTCCGTGCCGCAATCCCCGCTCCTGGAGTCACCACGGGGCACGAGCACCAGCTCCAACATAGGGTCTGTGAGGAGCAGGAGCAGGATCTGCCCCACAGGGCTCCAGAAGCCTGGAAATACCCTTCCCTTCCACAACAAGCTGCCAGGAGCCGGGGGACCTGCCTGCTGCAAGCTCCCTGCGAGCTCCGTGCCGCAATCCCCGCTCCTGGAGTCACCACGGGACACGAGCACCAGCTCCAACATAGGGTCTGTGAGGAGCAGGAGCAGGATCAGCACCCCACAGCAGGGAGAGGGGGCTCAGGGTGGCCCCACAAGCAGCAGGAGGGAACCTCAACAGCATCAATGCACTTCATGAACTTGACCCAAACGCGTCCTTCCAGCTACAACCCCAGCTCCCTTTTTCCCCTTCTCCTGTCCCTCCAGACGGAGCCTCTGCCGTCCCTTCCAGAGCTGGGGGAACCCCCGGGCAGTGCAGAAGCCACCACAGTCCTCCTCTCTTCAGGGGAGGAAGGCTCTGCCCCCCTCCAGCACCGACGCCAGCCCCGGCCGTCCCCACCGCCGCGGTCCAGCCATCGCCACAACTGGAAACTCCAAAAAAAGAACCAAAACTATATATATATATATGTATACATACATATATATGTTTATACATACACACACACACGTATATATATGTATATATGTCTACCTATATATACACATATAGGTTTGAAAGGCAAGTTGCCAAAGTAGAAAACATCAGTTCACCTTGTTCGTACGATGCGTGTTAAAGAAACGAGACTTTTAGCCCATGACATCGTCTTTAAAAATGAGTATTTAAGATCTTCCAAAAATTGCTACAGTACAAAAAAGTGTTTGTGTGTGTATATATATATATATATTAATTTTTTTTTTTTCCTCTCTACACATATCATATGTATGTATGCGGATGGACAGGAATGAATGACCCCACCAGAAGAGACACCCAGCTCGTTGTCCTCCTCCAGGCCGGATCCGGGCGGCAGCCACAAGCTCCGGCTTCTCGCCGCGTCTCTGCGTCGGTACATGGCACATAATGGTATTATTGGCACAGGTTCAGAGTCACAGTCCGTGTCCAGGCTCCAACCAGCTGCTCCGTCCCTTCGTCCCTCACCGGTTCCTCCTCTTCCTCCACGGGATTCTTCGCTCGCGCATTTTTGTCCTTCTCTTCTCCCCTTCCCCCCCCCAAAAAAAACGCTCTCTTTGAAAAAACGCAGTTACCTATAGGCGTGTTCATTTTTATAAAAATATATTTGGCCCATAGAACGCTGCTCTTTGAGTCTCCTACTGGTAAACAGAAATGGTAGGTACAGGTAACCCATTATTTTTTTTTATATTTTTTTACAGGTTCACCAATGGAATCCTGTTGGGGACAAAAAGAAAAAAAAAAAGATTAAATCACGACAGGGAAACGCATCACAACTCCTTGATGCCCCCCCAGGAGCCTGGGGGGTTCCCCTATTCCCAGCTCAGGGGAGTGAACACCAGTGGCAGCGGGAGCATCCCAGGGGAGCGGGGTACAGGGGAAGTGGGATATTGGGGGGACTGGAACCACTCCACTGCCTCCCAGGAAGCCCCAGCCCATTCTCAGCCCTGTTTCAAGGGGAGCCCCCCCACAGTGGGGATGTTCAGGCTGGGAGGGGGATGTTTTTGGCGAGAGGGAGTGACTAGGAGGCTTTGGTGAGCCCTTACTGCCCACTGCCATCTCCTCAGGGCCTTTGGCAAAGCCTGATTTATTTCTGAGCATCCTTGCATTCTGCAGCTTTCCATACTGGGGCTAAGAGCAGCGAGGGCTCTGGCAGATGAGAAGATGATGATGAGCACTAACAAGATTTTCTAAAGTTAAATGCCCTAAAGAAATCAATGGAGAATTGGTTAAGCATCAAAACCAGAGATCCCATTGAAGTTCCTCTTAAGCTATTTATTTGCCGCCTTCTGAAATAGCTCTCCCTACGTAATCTTTAAACCTTTATGCAAAGACAATTACTCCCCACCATTAGCGTGCTTGCTTTATTATAAATATGTGGCTTGATGTATAGCAATAAATGCTGTAATGCAGCTCTGTGTGCCTGAGCCAGCTCCTCATGGGTATATACACATATACCCCTATATATACAGCACATATATATATTTACAGCGTATGCACAATTGCTGCCTATAGAGCACCCATGACATCCATGCTGTGCCCTCAGACTGGCCAACTATTGCCCTCCAAAAAATGCCACACGCTTCACGTTCAAAGGTTCCTCCTCCAACATCATTTTGGAGCCAGATGCCCAATATATCCCGTCTCCGAGAACAAATCAGCGAAGCCTTAATTAGCGAGACAGATTTTTACAGAGTCCTTAATCTCCTGCACCGGGGCTGTGTTGGGACTGCTGTTATTCCTCCGAAGACAAGCCTGGATTTTTTATGATGACTCATTATCTCTTAATGTTAATACAAGCCATTTGCTGTTGTCAGGCAGAACGGGGCCGTGGCAGCAGCTGCTCGCCATGTTCAAAGCACAGAATTACCATATAACACTGTAAAATTTTAACTGCCTTGTGCAAAAGCTGGGGTCAGGTGGATGTTACCGTTAACCGGCACAAATTTTGGGTCTCAAATGGCCACTTCTCCGAAAGCAACACCCAACATTTACACGGTTCTGCAGCGCAGAATGGGGAATTCATATCGTATTCCAAATAGCCTCTTCCTGCAAAGTAGGTCAGCACTTGATCAACCTTACAGATTTTGGGATAATCTCATTCCACGGGGTTTTTTTTTTTTTTTCAGTCAAAGAGAGCAGGATTAAGGACAAGAATAAAGCAAAATCTCTAACTTTGTTTTAGAAAGCACAAACACCACCACCACCCCCCCAGCCAGTAAGAAATTGCACCAAAACAGCCAGGGTTTGCTGTGCTGCCTGGCCAAAGACACTCCAGCCTTCAACAAATGTCACCTTTGGGTTTGCTCCTGACCCTGCCTGGTGCTGTGTCCCCTCCATCACCTGCTGGGACCGGGACATGGAGCGTTTTCTCTCCCATTCCTCCACACAGATGATTCTGCAGTGACCTCCCTGGCACAAATCCTTTCCTCGCCTGCTTTGCCCTTCACCTAAACCACCTCCTTTTCACCTAAACCCCCCTAGAGCAGGGCTGGGTGGTTCTGCTGCACCCATACGCCGGGCTGCCGAGGGGTGACATCCATCCCCAAGCCAGTGCTCCCAGTATCCCAGCACTAGTGATGTGCTGGGAGGCTCCAGGAGCTGCTGCTCCCTGGCAGGGACAGGAACCCTCCTGCCCGTCGCTTCTCTTGGCGCAGGATGAATCTGACCCCCAGGCAATAACTTCAACATCTGCTCGCCGTGTAGCTGGACGAGTTCCACCAGGTTTCCCGACACAACCTCCGCGCTGCCTGCGGCTCTCCAGGCTGGGGACCGCTCCGCAGCACCGTCCCTCACATCTGCTCCCTGCAGCTGCCCAGCCCAGCCTCACGGTGCCCTCAGCATCCTCACGGTGCCACCAACTTCCTCACGGTGCCACCAGTATCTTCACGGTGCCACCAGCACCTTCACGGTGCCACCAGCACCCTCAGGGTATCATCAGCACCCTCATGGTGCCACCAATTTCCTCACGGTGCCACCAATTTCCTCACAGTGCCACCAGCACCCTCACGGTGCCACCAGCATCCTCACGGTGCCACCAACTTCCTCACGGTGCCACCAGTACCCTCAGGGTATCATCAGCACCCTCACGGTGCCACCAATTTCCTCACGGTGCCACCAGCTTCCTCACGGTGCCACCAGCTTCCTCACGGTGCCACCAGCTTCCTCACAGTGTCCTCAGCATCCTCACAGTGTCCTCAGCACCATCATGGTGCCACTAGCATCCCCATGGTGACACCATGACCCCCATGGTGCCACCAGCACCCTCATGGTGCCACCAACTTCCTCACGGTGCCACCAGTATCTTCACGGTGCCACCAGCATCCTCACGGTGCCACCAGCATCCTCACGGTGCCACCAGCATCCTCACGGTGCCACCAGCATCCTCACGGTGCCACCAGCATCCTCACGGTGCCACCAGCATCCTCACGGTGCCACCAGCATCCTCACGGTGCCACCAGCATCCTCACGGTGCCACCAGCATCCTCACGGTGCCACCAGCATCCTCACGGTGCCACCAGCATCCTCACGGTGCCACCAGCATCCTCACGGTGCCACCAGCATCCTCACGGTGCCACCAGCATCCTCACGGTGCCACCAGCATCCTCACGGTGCCACCAGCATCCTCACGGTGCCACCAGCATCCTCACGGTGCCACCAGCATCCTCACGGTGCCACCAGCATCCTCACGGTGCCACCAGCATCCTCACGGTGCCACCAGCATCCTCACGGTGCCACCAGCATCCTCACGGTGCCACCAGCATCCTCACGGTGCCACCAGCATCCTCACGGTGCCACCAGCATCCTCACGGTGCCACCAGCATCCTCACGGTGCCACCAGCATCCTCACGGTGCCACCAGCATCCTCACGGTGCCACCAGCATCCTCACGGTGCCACCAGCATCCTCACGGTGCCACCAGCATCCTCACGGTGCCACCAGCATCCTCACGGTGCCACCAGCATCCTCACGGTGCCACCAGCATCCTCACGGTGCCACCAGCATCCTCACGGTGCCACCAGCATCCTCACGGTGCCACCAGCATCCTCACGGTGCCACCAGCATCCTCACGGTGCCACCAGCATCCTCACGGTGCCACCAGCATCCTCACGGTGCCACCAGCATCCTCACGGTGCCACCAGCATCCTCACGGTGCCACCAGCATCCTCACGGTGCCACCAGCATCCTCACGGTGCCACCAGCATCCTCACGGTGCCACCAGCATCCTCACGGTGCCACCAGCATCCTCACGGTGCCACCAGCATCCTCACGGTGCCACCAGCATCCTCACGGTGCCACCAGCATCCTCACGGTGCCACCAGCATCCTCACGGTGCCACCAGCATCCTCACGGTGCCACCAGCATCCTCACGGTGCCACCAGCATCCTCACGGTGCCACCAGCATCCTCACGGTGCCACCAGCATCCTCACGGTGCCACCAGCATCCTCACGGTGCCACCAGCATCCTCACGGTGCCACCAGCATCCTCACGGTGCCACCAGCATCCTCACGGTGCCACCAGCATCCTCACGGTGCCACCAGCATCCTCACGGTGCCACCAGCATCCTCACGGTGCCACCAGCATCCTCACGGTGCCACCAGCATCCTCACGGTGCCACCAGCATCCTCACGGTGCCACCAGCATCCTCACGGTGCCACCAGCATCCTCACGGTGCCACCAGCATCCTCACGGTGCCACCAGCATCCTCACGGTGCCACCAGCATCCTCACGGTGCCACCAGCATCCTCACGGTGCCACCAGCATCCTCACGGTGCCACCAGCATCCTCACGGTGCCACCAGCATCCTCACGGTGCCACCAGCATCCTCACGGTGCCACCAGCATCCTCACGGTGCCACCAGCATCCTCACGGTGCCACCAGCATCCTCACGGTGCCACCAGCATCCTCACGGTGCCACCAGCATCCTCACGGTGCCACCAGCATCCTCACGGTGCCACCAGCATCCTCACGGTGCCACCAGCATCCTCACGGTGCCACCAGCATCCTCACGGTGCCACCAGCATCCTCACGGTGCCACCAGCATCCTCACGGTGCCACCAGCATCCTCACGGTGCCACCAGCATCCTCACGGTGCCACCAGCATCCTCACGGTGCCACCAGCATCCTCACGGTGCCACCAGCATCCTCACGGTGCCACCAGCATCCTCACGGTGCCACCAGCATCCTCACGGTGCCACCAGTACCCTCAGGGTATCATCAGCACCCTCACGGTGCCACCAATTTCCTCACGGTGCCACCAGCTTCCTCACGGTGCCCTCGGCATCCTCACGCTGCCACCAGCATCCTCATGGAGCCACCAGCATCCTCACGGTGCCACCAACACCCTCACGGTGCCACCAACACCCTCATGGCGCCACTAGCATCCCCACGGTGACACCATGACCCCCATGGTGCCACCAACTTCCTCACGGTGCGCTCAGTACCCTCAGGGTGCCCTCAGCATCCTCATGGAGCCACCAACTTCCTCACAGTGCCCTCAGCATCCTCATGGTGCCACCAGCACCCTCATGGTGCCACCAATATCCCCACGGTGCCCTCAGTACCCTCACAGTGTCCTCAGCATCCTCACAGTGCCACCAGCACCCTCATGGCGCCACCAGCATCCCCACGGTGACACCATGACCCCCATGGTGCCACCAACTTCCTCACGGTGCCCTCAGTACCCTCAGGGTGCCCTCAGCATCCTCATGGAGCCACCAACTTCCTCACAGTGCCCTCAGCATCCTCACGGTGCCACCAGCACCCTCACGGTGCCACCAGCATCCCCACGTGCCAGGCTGCCATCTGGGCAGCACAATGATCACAAGAGATGGACTGTCAGAGCTAAAGTCCACATCCAAGTCCAAGTGGCCTCGCGGTGCCCTTCTACTCGAAATGTCCCCAGCCACATCGTCCCTCTCGTGCCTCCAGCTCAGACTCTGCCCATCCACCACTAATAATTTGCTTATTAGTCAGCCAAGAGCTGTGAAGTGCCATCAATTAAAACTTGTGAAGTGCTTTGAGCCTTTCCAAGGAGAGAGGATTCCGGCGCGGAGAGCGGTGCAGCGTCCGACCCCACCGTGTGTCCGCAGAGCGGGGAGAGCCCCCCATCTCCCCCCAACCCCCCTCCATCCCCTGCACACGCCGAGAGAAAGGGGCTGGGAAGAGAAAGCTGCAGGTAAACCCTCCAGCCAGGAGGCTCCGGGTGCTCTACTGCATCCTTCCACCTCTGCCAAGGTGCAGCTGGTCACCAGCAACTGTCACCTTCAGGCCACCACCTGGCACCTTCAGACCACCAGAGTCACCCTCAGGCTACCACCAACTGTCACCTTCAAGTCACCAGCAACTGTCACCTTCAGGCCAGCACCGTCACCTTCAGGCCAGCACCGTCACCTTCAGGCCACCAGCAACTGCCACCTTCAGGCCACCAGAGTCACCCTCAGGCTACCACCAATTGTCACCTTCAAGTCACCAGCAACTGTCACCTTCAGGCCACCACCAACTGCCACCTTCAGGCCACCAGAGTCACCCTCAGGCTACCACCAATTGTCACCTTCAAGTCACCAGCAACTGTCACCTTCAGGCCACCACCAGCTGCCACCTTCAGGCCACCACCAGCTGCCACCTTCAGGCCACGCTGCTGCTCCTGCAAATTCAGGAACATGCCACCCCTCCAGTGGTGCAGCCCCAGGCAGCTCCATCTCCTCTTCCAGCAGCATCTCCTCCAGGAAACCAGAGCTAGAAAAGCATCCTCTGTCCCCTCCCCCTCCTCCTGCTCACAGCATCTGTCCGGTGACAGCACGAGGCAGCCACCACGTCAGGGGACACTCTGCCGGGGAGAGATCTCAGTGCCATCTGCTCTCGGAAGGTTCTACCTTACACAGCGACATGTGAAACTTGAAATATTCATTTTCTCCGTGGGATGTCCCAACTGGCACACACTCATGCAAAACGCTGTCTGCGTGGGGCTGCAAAGCATCTTTGGTCCCCAGGCTCCCCAGAAACTCCAGGGAGTCACCATTTCTCCTGGTACCCATGCCATGGTGACACCCTCTGCGTTCCTCCCCACACAAGGTAGCCATCGCCTGGTTTTTACCGTAACGTACCACTTATTCCAGAAATACCCCGCTGCAAATGCACACGTGCACGTGTACACATACAGAGAACGCTTTTGGGCTTAATTTTTTAATGTTAATGAAACCAAACATCAGCTTCCAGAACTGTATAAATAATTGAAAGGCTATTATGGACCCAGTGCTCCAGCTACGACTCGGATAGATTTTTCCTGAGCGCGTCAATACACGTTTTATGGATTCCATGAAAAGGGGTCAATGAGAATTTCAAGGATTTAATAAGGCATAATGGACCTGCTTTGGACTATTTAGAGAAACCCACGGCAGTGACCAGGACAGGGTCTCTGGCACAGAGCTCCCCAGGACCATGGGCAGGAGCACTGGGAATGGCACCAGCACGGACCTGCTCCTTCTCCATCCCTCGACTTCAGGCAGGAGAGATGCTGATGGCCCCCAGGTACGACTGGCGTGGCTTTTAGTGTTGGGACTTCAGGCAGGAGAGATGCTGATGGCCCCCAAGTATGACTTGGCATGGCTTTTAGTGCTGTTTGGGGCTTTTTAAAAATCATATTAAGCCAACAGACTGACATCACAAACCACAAAGCTGACGGTGGCAAAGGCAGAGCGGATTCTGGCCGTTTGCTCCCCAAACCAGTGCCCACAGGTGCTGCTGAGGAAGCCCCCCCAGAACCTCTCCTGTTTATCAGCACCCCCCCAGCCAGGCAAACCCCCCCAGAATGCAGCCACAGCAAAAGAGTGGGAGAAATACCCAAAGAATGTTAACAAATGGGGAGTAAGAGTCTTTCCACATTAATAGCAAAGCCCTAGGGTGGCTCTGGAGGGGGGGCAGAGCCATTGGGACCCCACAGGGATCGATGGCTGAACCCCCACCCTGCCCAGACAGGGCCAGCCCCCCCAGCACAGCTGAGAACATTCACTTTTTTCTTTTATTTTTTTTTCCCCTTCTATTCTAATCTAATTACATTTCTGTGTTCAATAGCTGAGCATAATGTTAAACAGGCCATTCCGAGCAAGCTGCAGTTCAGGGAAGGCTGGAAATTTCATTTCTGCTGAATATATGATTCATTACAGCCGGGACTTGGGACAGGCCAATTAATTCACCTGAGCGGGCGGCTCGAGCGGGCACCGCTGCCCCACGGCGAGCTGGGGGGCAGGGAACCCTAATTGCTTCTCCTGCCACCCCTATCAGCCGTGGCACCTTCAACACCAGCGCAAGGAGGTGAGAACCAGCTCAGAAAAAAAGAAAAAAAGAGGAAAAATTCCCCAGATGAGGAACTGTTAAAACCAGTGCCAACATCACTGAGATCCTTGGTGGCAGCAGTACCCCAGGCATGAACCCTGGGGATGGCACACACGGGCTGGAGGGTCAGGTTCCAATGGGCAAAGAGGAGAAGGAGGAGGAAGAGGAGGAGGACCCTAGCACCAGGAGGAGGAAGAGGAGGAGGACCCCAGCACTAGGAGGAGAAGGAGGAAGAGGAGAAGGACCCTAGCACTAGGAGGAGGAGGAGGAGGAGGACCCTAGCACCAGGAGGAGGAGGAGGAGGACCCTAGCACCAGGAGGAGGAGGAGGAGGAAGAGGAGGAGGACCCTAGCACTAGGAGGAGGAGGAGGAGGAGGAGGACCACCCTAGCACCAGGAGGAGGTGGAAGAGGAGGACCACCCTAGCACCAGGAGAAGGTGGAAGAGCACCAGGAGGAGGTGGAAGAGGAGGACCACCCTAGCACCAGGAGGAGGAGGAGGAAGAGGAGGAGGACCCTAGCACCAGGAGGAGGAGGACCCTAGCACCAGGAGGAGGAAGAGGAGGACCCCAGCACCCTCGCAGAGGGAGCATGGAGGTGTTAATGATGGCAAACATCACCAACAGAGCTTTTGGGTAGGGATGGAGCGTGCGTGTGGGATGCCTGGCTCCTGAAGGAGCCGGGCTCTCTGTCCATCACACAACACGAGGTTAATTACAGATCAGGCCGTTTCAGAAGGAGGAAGAGGAGGACCCCAGCACCCTCGCAGCGGGAGCATGGAGGTGTTAATGATGGCAAACATCACCAACAGAGCTTTCAGGTAGGGATGGAGCGTGCGTGCGGGATGCCTGGCTCCCGAAGGAGATGGGCTCTCTGTCCATCACACAACATGAGGTTAATTACAGATCAGGCCGTTCTGTCGCCTGCCGAAGTGTCAAGGTGAGCTGGGGCCACCAGACCAGGCTGAAGTTCAAGGCAGCCCCAGGGACTCTTTGCCCTCAAAGTCCACATCCATATCCCAGTCCCTGCCTTTTAGCTGGTCTGGAATTCACCTCCACGGAAAAGCCATGGTGGTGCCCACCTCTCCTCCACGGAGGGAGATGTCTCCAGCCACCCCAGCATTGGGGACCACTCAGAAGCCCCCAGCCCCTCTGAAATCTAAGGATAAGCTGGAATACAGCGTGGGGGGGTATTTTCTGCCAAATTCCTTTACTCTTTAAGGCAACACTCTGGTCTGATGTCCCAAAAGGAGTGGTAGGATGGCACCAGGCAGGGAGGAGAAGGGCTGCTGGGGGGGCAGGGGATGGTGGGGACGGGGTGATGGAGATGGGGATGGTGTGGGGGGAGCGTGGTACGTACCAGGAAACAGCCCGACGGCGTCTGCCCTGCCCCCAGAAGTCAAACAGGCTTCGGCCAGTCAGCAGGAGATTTCAAACCATTTCTCAGACACAAAGGCCACAGGAATAAGATGCCGGTCAGAAGACGAGGGTCTGCAGCGAGCAGAAAAAGGGGGCTTGCAGGTGCTGGTACAAAACACACAAGGAGCAAACCGAGGAGGCCTGCTGCAAAAATCAGCTTTTTTAGAGGAAAAAAAAAAATAATCTCTCTGAAGTAGTGCTTTGAATGAGCTTATTGGCCCTGGAAACCAGGTGATGCAAAGCAGAGAAAGGGGGAGAAAGAGATGGAGTGCAATATTGGATGTTTTTTTCCCTGTGCACGAGCATCTTCTAACACAGCCCATCGTCCTGGGGATGCCCGACCCCACAGGGCACCAGGGCATGATGCCACCCCCCTGTCCCTCCATCCCCCTGCCGTGGGTCCCCTGTGGGGCTGCCGTGCCCATCGCCAGCTCTGCCAGGCTGGAATGGGAACACACCGAGGCCAGTGGGGTCCCAGAGAGCATCACCCCATGGCACAGCAGCAAGGGAGCCCTTCCAGCCCAAAGGAGGGCACCCTGGGTGGGGGGCAATCCATAGAATCACAGAATGGGTTGGGTTGGAAGGGACCTTAAATCACACCAAAATCAATGTGCACAGAGGATGTTCAAGGGAACGATCTGCAAACCCCCAAAGCTTCTCTGCCTTCCAAAACCTGGGGAAACCCTGAAAAACGTGAACCAGCAACCCCCCCCGCACCACGTGCATGCAGGTGATGGCTTAAAAGATGTCTATTAAAGCTGTTGGCTCCCAGGGTTCTGTCCTTAGTGCCACCAGCTGCGGTGGCACGCACACCACGGGCTGCCTGGGGCATGAGCTGCTCTTTTTCTTCCTCAAAACCCTCCTCCTGGTCCTTCCTCTGGCTTTTGTGGGGTGGTCACTCTCCCACCCTCCCCGCACAGGCAGGGGCAGGCAGAGCTGGGGCTGGCATCTCTCCTGCCGTGCCACCAGCTGCCACAAAGCCCCCCCTCGTTAATGCATCATTACTTCAGGCTCCTCCATTAATCACCCGGCTCGTTCGCAGCCCGGCAGCTCTTTCCGCGCCACGTCGCAGACAGCACGAAGGCTGGGAGATGGATCCAGCAGCGTTTAACGTGCTGGAGGCAGCTGGGGACTGAAAAAAACGTGCGGTGCCCAAGGCTGCCAGGGCTCACGAGCCACCTCGGTGGGATGAGTGGTCCAGGGGCCGTGTCCACGCTGAGCTATGGGGTGGGTGAGCAGCTTGGTGGCTTGGAGAGCTGGGGGAAGGCAGTTCCCGGGGCTGAGAGGGGGTAGCAGACCCCCAGAGTGGAATCATGGAATTCTTAGAGTTGGAAGGGACCTTCTAGAGATCATCCAGTCCAACTCCCCTGCCAAAGCAGGGTTGCCCAGAGCACATCACTCAGGAGCATCCAGGTGGGGCTTGAAGATCTCCAGAGAAGGGGACTCCACACCCTCCCTGGGCAGCCTCTTCCAGGGCTCTGCCACCCTCACCCCAAAGAAGTTCTTCCTCACATTGGAGTGGAACTTCCCATGTTCCAGCTTGTGCCCGTTGCCCCTCGTCCTCTCACTGGCAACCACTGAAAAGAGTCCGGCTCCATCCTCCTTCAACCCCCCCTTGAGATACTTGTCAGCATTAATAAGGGCTCCCCTCAGCCTTCTCTTCTCCAGACTAACGAGTCCCAGCTCCCTCAGCCTGTCTTCATCAGGGAGATGCTCCAATCCTTGAATCATCTTTGTTGCGTCCCCTTTCGTGATGCTCCAATCCTTGAATCATCTTCGTTGTGTCCCCTTTCAGGGAGATGATATGGTGTAGGGGAGAACTTTAGAGTAGGGTAGATGGTTGGACTTGATGATCCCAAGGGTCTCTTCCAGCCTAGATGATTCTGTGTGATTCTGTGTTGCCCTTCACTGGACTCTTCCCAGCAGTTCCCTGTCCCTCTTGAACTGGGGAGCCCAGAACTGGACACAGGATTCCAGTTGTGGCCTCCCCAGTGCAGAGCAGAGGGGGAGAACCTCCTCCCTCCACCTCCTGGGCCCAATCTTCCCTACGCAGCCCAGGATCCCACTGGCCCTCTTGGGGGGCCACAAGGGCACGTTGGCAACGAACGAACCCCCAACCTGCCGGGACCTGGCGCCTCCTCCTCACCTGTTTCCGTTGAAGGTTGTTTTATAATCCCCGGGCGAATGCAACGCCTCCTCGGCGTAGACGGGGACGGGGGTGCGGACGCACTCGTGGGAGCACTGCAGCGTCTCGTTGTAGGCGGTGAAGATGTCGAGGGCGCTGGGCACGCGGGCCGGGGCGAAGTCGGTCAGGTTCTGGCAGCTCTCCTCTTGCTGGTCCAGCTTGCGCTGGTGGCTGTTGCGCCGGGGGCGCCCGCTCTGCGCGCAGCTGGGGAGGAGAAGGGGACACGACACCCCGTGTGTCCACTCCTATTACTCACCGGTAATTATACATGGCTCAATATTAGATTCCACTGGCCCTCTTGGGGGGCCACAAGGGCACGTTGGCAACGAACGAACCCCCAACCTGCCGGGACCTGGCGCCTCCTCCTCACCTGTTTCCGTTGAAGGTTGTTTTATAATCCCCGGGCGAATGCAACGCCTCCTCGGCGTAGACGGGGACGGGGGTGCGGACGCACTCGTGGGAGCACTGCAGCGTCTCGTTGTAGGCGGTGAAGATGTCGAGGGCGCTGGGCACGCGGGCCGGGGCGAAGTCGGTCAGGTTCTGGCAGCTCTCCTCTTGCTGGTCCAGCTTGCGCTGGTGGCTGTTGCGCCGGGGGCGCCCGCTCTGCGCGCAGCTGGGGAGGAGAAGGGGACACGACACCCCGTGTGTCCACTCCTATTACTCACCGGTAATTATACATGGCTCAATATTAGATTAGAATTCATAGAATCACTCAATGGTTTGGGTGGGAAGGGACCTTGAAGACCACCTCGTTCCACCCCCCTGCCCTGGGCAAGGACACCTCCCACCAGACCAGGTTGCTCCAAGCCCCCTCCAACCTGGGCTTGAACCCCTCCAGGGATGGGGCAGCCACAGCTTCTCTGGCCAACCTGGGCCAGGCTCTCACCACCCTCACAGCAAAGAAGTTCTTCCCCACATCTCATCTCCATCTCCCCTCTTTCAGCATCAAACCCTTCCCCCTCCTCCTATGGCTCCCCTCCCTGATCCAGAGTCCTTCCCCATCTCTCCTGGAGCCCCTTTAGGGACTGGAAGGCCCTCCAAGGTCTCCCCAGAGCCTTCTCTTCTCCAGGCTGAACCCCCCCAACTCTTTATCTCAGCCCCTCCTCCCACCAGAGGGGCTCCAGCCCTCCCAGCATCTCCAGGGCCTCCTTTGACATCCTGGGCTGCACCAAAAGAAGCTGCTGAGGCACTTTGGGAAGATCAGCCACCACCAGGCAGTCACTGGCCTTGCCTTTCTTTTCTTAAAGGATCATTAGACACAAGCTTTTTACCACCAGAGGAATTACCAAGTCACACTTTTACACCTGCAGGAAATGAAAGCCCTTTTTTTTTTTTTTTTTTTTTTTTTTTTTAAGTGAAAAGACACAGGTGAGAACAATGAAGTTTAAACCTTTTCCATTTGGGAGGCATCGAAAGGTTTAAAATATTGGGGTAAATAGCTCAGAAAGTGCTCTGCCAGGCAGACCCCCCCCCTCAGCTGAGGGATGGTTGGGGGGACAGCCCTGATCTGGGGGACCCCACCAGCTCTGGAGGCTCCAATGGGATCTGGTGGCCCCGCAGTGCTCCCGGATCCCTCTGTGCTCTATTCTACACTGAGCTCTGGATTTATTTTTCTTTTCTCCTTTTTGGCTCCAGCACGAGGCTCCTCGCGCTGTGCCGTGGTCAGCGGATCGATGATACTACTACTATTAGAGAAAAATCCCAGGGGTGTTTTAGACAGTATATTTTCTACTCTTTCATTTCAATACTGCTGGGGCTGGGGAAGTTTAGTAAAGTAAATCCTGTCTGAGATACAAAACCCAGCATCACCGATGCCTCCCCGCAGGCTCCCAGCAAAGCAAACTCGTTTTGGGGAGGGGGGGCAAGTAACTCAGTGCTTTTGGCCAGCTGAATGTCTCACTACCCCTCTGCTGAGACTTGGTAGCCCTGCAACCAGTTTTTCCTCTAATCCTAGGGCTTCTTCATCACTTCATCATCATCCTCCTGGGTGGGGGAATGGATTTGCTGCAGCCCCTGGGGATGCTTGGTGGGGAGGGCAGAGGGGAGAATGCCCAGAGCATCAGCTCGATGGCTGCTCCGGTGAAGGTTGACCTCAAAGTAGGGCAGTTTCCCTGGGAAAATAGGTAAAATCCCGAGTGCCTGAAGCAAAGCTTTAACCTATTTTGCCACACGCCCGGCCACGCCGAGAGAACACACGGGAGGAAACGAAGCTGGAGGAGCACATGAGAAAATAGGTAAAATCCCGAGTGCCTGAAGCGAAGCTTTAACCTATTTTGCCGCACGCCCGGCCACGCTGAGAGAACACATGGGAGCAAACCAAGCTGGAGGAGCACATGAGAGCTCTGGGGGACCTGCACGCTCCAAACCGGTGGCACCCAGGGGGTCAGGAGATGCCCTTGAGTCCCTAGAGGGGTGGGGAAGGTCACAAAATGTCCCCATTGCCCACACAGCCCAGGGGTGGCTTGAGGAGCAGCATAAAGCTGGTTAAGGCAGGGGCAGAGGAGATGCCACCCAGAGCAGGGTGGTCCCCTACCCACGTGGGGACACCAGCCGTGGCCAAAGGCAGGACTCTGGCATCATCAGGTGGCACCATGTTGCAGCACAGTGACCCCGGAGCAGTGATGAGCAGGTGAGATGTGGCCACCTGGCCATGTGCTGGTCCCCAAAGCCACCCACCACCAGTGAGAGCCAGGATAGCCCAGGTGCTTCCACCTCCCTTGGAGGCTTCAGCATTGAAAAACACCCCATTTTCTCCTGCAACACCTTTCCGAAGACCATCCCGGCAGACGCCACAGGCTTTAGTGCTGGAAAGACACCACCATCCCCATCCTGTCCCCATCCCCGTGCCACCCCCCCGCCCCAAACCCAGCCAGCCCCAGGAGGGACCTTACCAATTTTTTAAGACAAGAGTTGTTATCAGCGCGGCGATGACCATGATGAGGGACACGGTAATAGTGATTATCTGATGGACTGCCAGACCTGTGGGAGAGAAGAAATGAGAGAAAGTGGGGACGGGAGCCACGGGGGATGTGGGGCAGTGGTGAGTGAAGCCCCCCCGACCACGCACAGACCCCCCCGACCACGCACAGACCCCCCCCATCACCTCCCCCCCTCAGCAGCGGGGACGCAATCCTCTCCCCTGCCTTACATAAAATAATCCTTAAGCCAGTCCTCTCATTTCCTACCCTCTCAAGTATGTTCCTTGTCAGCCCGAATTAGGCAGGAAGAACGGAAGAGATGTGGAGACGCATCCCCTCCGGGACGGAAAGAGAAACTTGAGCTCAGCTTTGCAGTGGGTGCGGGATTAACCGCAGATAATAATTACCGCTCTAAACTGCTGCTCACTCAGAAGGGTCGGGGTGGGCTCATTTTCTCGTAATTCACCTTACACAGGGTATAATTTTGGCTCCGCGTATCATTCCTAATGAGCAGTTTGGAAACAAAAGCAGCTCGATGTACAGTATGTTTGCGATCTGGTGCCGCTTTACAGTTGCAATTTCGTAATGAAATGATTTTTCCTGGCGGCGGCCCAAGGATGTGCTATTTTTCACAAGCAGATGTTGCAGCTCCTGATGGATGGTATTTTTAATAAATAAATAAGTGTTAGCACGACATGAAAACAAGCAGTTTTATATATATATATATCTATCTCTATCTATATGTGCATCTGTGCAATGCATGCGTAGAGCTCCCAGCTTTTTTGCTGCTTTTTCCCACCCAAGAGTGGCTGGAGCCAGGGATGCTGGTGGGGCTGGGGATGCTGGTGGGGCCGGGGATGCTGGTGGAGCTGGGGATACTGGTGGAGGGATGCTGGTAGAGCCAGGGATGCTGGTGGAGCTGGGATGCTGGTGGAGCCAGGGATGCTGGTGGGGCCGGGGATGCTGGTGGGGCCGGGGATGCTGGTGGAGCTGGGATGCTGGTGGGGCTGGGATGCTGGTAGAGCCAGGGATGCTGGTGGAGCTGGGATGCTGGTGGGGCTGGGATGCTGGTAGAGCCAGGGATGCTGGTGGAGCTGGGATGCTGGTGGGGCTGGGATGCTGGTGGGGCTGGGGATGCTGGTGGGGCCAGGGATGCTGGTGGGGCCAGGGATGCTGGTGGGGCCAGGGATGCTGGTGGAACTGGGGATACTGGTGGAGCTGGGATGCTCATGGGGCCATTTTTTTTTTTTTTTTCGGGGATGCTGGTGGAGCCGGGGATGCTGGTGGAGCCAGGGATGCCACTGGGACCAGGGATGCCAGCTCCAGCTGCTGGCCCAGGGAGGAGGTGGCTGATGGCCATGGGTGTGGGCACTGAACTGGCCACAGCAGCCACCCACATCCTCAGGGCTTGTGGGAGACTCCAAGCCTCAGCCCCAGCCCCAGGCTGGGTAATTAGGCCAGACGAGATTTAAGGGTGGTATTTTAAAGCGCGGATCACGCTGGCTGCTCTGCTGCCTTCTCTCGAAGGACACAAGTTCCTACTCCCTCGAAATCTGTGATCTCTCCTCCCCCTGCTCACCCCGGCTCCCTGGGGGGCTCGGGTCCCTGCCCACGCTGCCGACAAAGCTCAGCGCGGGGGGAATGGCTGCTCGAGCACAGCCCGGCTCCCGGTCCACGTCTCCCCAGCCCACACGCCTCCGAATCCAAACCCCCAGAGACACAACGAAAAATGCTTCTGGCCAGGGAAGAGCAGGAGAAAAGGCTGCAGACCGAGGTCCACGGTGACACCCAGAATCTCAGAATCACAGAATCTTCTAGGTTGGAAGGGACCTTAAAGATCATCTTGTCCAACCCTCAACCTAACTGACAAAAATAGACACCCACACAACAAACAAGGAGCATCATCACTAAACCATACCTCCCAGCACTACATCAACCCCTCTTTTGAACACCTCCAGGGATGGGGCCTCAACCACCTCCCTGGGCAGCCCATTCCAAGGGCTGAGAACCCTTTCAGTGAAAAAATTTTTCCTAATATCCAGCCTGAACCTCCCCTGGCGCAACCTGAGGCCATTTCCTCTGGTCCTGTCGCCTGGGACTTGAGAAAAGAGACCGACCCCCACCTCTCTACACCCTCCTTTCAGGGAGTTGGAGAGAGCAATAAGGTCTCCCCTCAGCCTCCTCTTCTCCAGGCTGAGGGGAGGTGGAAGCTGCTCAGTGCAGGCAGATGAAGACATAAGTCACCTTTGGATGGCCACCTCCAAAGCAGCTTCTCAGCTTTTGGGAGCACACGCCATGCCTCGAGGGCTACCCTGGCTTTTGTTAGCCCTGCCCGCAGACACACTTGCCTCAGCACCACATCTCACCACCCGAGCATCCTTGCTCAAGATCGGCCATCACCTTACCCTCACTGGCATCCCCGTGCTGCCTGGGCTGCAGGACCCAAGGCCACCCCGGGAAGGAGGTGCAGATCCCTGCTTGGGATGCGGAGACCCATAAAATCCCAAATTTTGAGCAGTGAGACCAGCCAGCAGCGACACCTTTTCAGGAAGCGCCGCGGACTTTGCTGCCAGGATGCATCCCGGACATAAATCAAAGGCTGGGGATGGTGAGTCTTGCCAATTTAATATAATAAAGGCAAGGTCACCTTCGGTGAGTCTGATTCCCCAAAACACCCCTGGTGCCATGGATGGCAGGGAAGGCTTCACTCCAGCCCCGGGGCTGGCACCGGGCTGCCGGGAGGGATATGCTCTGAGCCCACTTTGCCAATGGGCTCCCCATGGGGGAGATGTGGGGGAAGAAGTGGAGAAAAAAACAGGGATCCCAACTCTAAGGAGAGGACACGGGAGCAGGAGGTGGTGGCAGATGTGAAATTAACCCCAGTGAAGGGGTTTTCTCGAGGCAGGACCAAGGAGAGATGATTTCCCAAAGGCCAGCACTTCTGGAATGCTGACCTTGGATCCCGAGCTGGCAAGAAGGGAAGAGCCCACCGGAACGCAGGGAGGCACAGAATGAGGCAAATCCCATGTACTTTGGGGCTCTTCCTCTGCTCCCCAACGCACACCCCCCTCCCCTGGGGAGCCCTGGGACAGACAGACGGACGGACAGACGGACGGCTGCTCTCCTTCCCCCGGGCCCTGGCGATGCCGAGCGCAGCGGGACGGACGGGGATGCGTCAGGGTTATTTTTCTCCCTCGACTCAAGCACCTATTTTGCAAATGACCCATTTCCTTCATTTACTCCCAATTACACTTCAATTGGTTCAAACAGGCTGTGACAAGGCTCCTTGGAGAGCGGCTGGCACCAGCAGCTGCCAGAAAAGGAGCGGGGCAGGGCAAGAGAACGGCGGGGGCAGAGGATGGGGGGGTCCGGGCACCCAGTTCCAGCTCTGGAGGGGGTCCAACACCAGGGAATAGCCCATGGGCTTCGTGGCCCTGAGCAGGAGTCCCAGCAGGGCTTCCTAGAACCCATTCATGGCTCTGGAGTCTTTGGGGGGCTCCAAACCAAGACCCAGCATCCACAAGGGATTGGGGAGCCAGAGCCAAATTGTGGCTGCTCCACCACCGGCTTTCATTTCCCAAGGGAATTCATGGGGAAAATGCCATAGGGCTCCCCACCTCCCCCATGGAAAAAGGCTTCTGGCCCCACACTTGGGGTCCCTGTAGGACAGTCGTGATGGGCACCGTGTCCCAGCAGACCCGAGGAATGGAGCTGGCAGCTCCGGTGCGTGCCGGGTCCGCAGTGACGCCCACCCCAGCCACCTCCTTCCTGGGAATCTTGGAGCAGCTCCCAGTGGGACACGGCCGAAAAAGATAAAAGGAAAAGAGTCTAAAAATAAAATAAAAACCCAGCCCAGTGCCCGATTCCTTTGAAAACAGAAACGGTGTCGGAAACGAGACCTTCCGCAAAGGGGGGAGCCGCGGCAGGGACAAGGGGGGGGAGGACCTAACGATGCAATTAATCCTTGCACTTACATAATGGGGAAGGCGCAGGCAGAACAGATTGCAGGTGGCTGAGCACTGGGAAGGAAGGCAGCTCTCGGGAGCAGGACACATGGATTTGAAGAAGGGTTGGATAATTTTAGACTCCGTCACATACATAAGTTGCCATATGTACCGGCACAGAAGCAAGTTCCTTTGCATCACACATTAATTCTGCACTGGAGCCCGGGGGGGGGAGAGGTTCAAGGGGATGGGAGATGTTTTTTTCCCAACCACGTTAGCCACGGCAGAGATGGAGAGAGGGAAAGGGACGGGATGGCAAGTGGGATGACTCCCCGAGAAGCCCTGCAGCAACGCAAGAGAGACTCACAGGTCTCCATCCTTACCTTGCAAACACACCACATCCTTTCCTGGAGGCCTCCAAAGAAATATATAGAGCCGTGCAGAGCAACACTGAACAGAAATATCCCATCTGCGAGGGGGGGGGTGTTGATGGATGGGGCATCCCGAGAGAGGGGAACATCCCACGAGGGACACGCAGCACCGGGGGGGGAGGCGAGATGAAAGAGAGATGGCTGGGAAGAGCAAAGCATTATTTTAACCACGGCCCAAGGAGCCCAATCTGTCTGGAGGGAAGGGACCTGGAGGATAAAATCAATAGCTCATAAAGCAAAAATTACCCTCCTCCTCCTCAGGCACAGGAAGCCTTCTGCCGAGCAGGCAACTCACAGGAAAAGCCTGTGCCCCCCCCCCCCAAGACGTGGGGCAGGCTGCAAGGGAAGGACCTGGAAGCAGGAATTACGGTGCCTTGGATTTATTTGCTCATCTCCACGGCCAACACTTCCAACGGCAAAGCTCCCATCCCAGCGATCACTTAATTACATGCTAATAACAGCGAAGAAACAAGCCACGGGAAGGGCAGGGGCTGGTTTATGGGATGGGGAAGGATCATCCACCCCGGCCCCGGCAGCTGGAAATGCCTCCTCCCCACCAGGGGCTGCGGGAGGCTCCCTCTTACGAGGCTTTTACCAGGCAATTTGACGCAGTGACCATTTAACTGGAGGGTAATTACAGGAGAAGTATTTAATGGAATTGAAAGTGTGTCCAAACCCCCGCGCTTCTGCTAGTGCAGCAGAATTTAATGTGTCGCCTGCCAGGAGGGAAAGCTCTTCAAAAGCCTTCTCTGAACCCTGGGAAATGCTGAAATATTGCGGGGATTTTTCCACTCTCGCCCCGTCCCAGTGCCATCTCCTCAATGGTGGGACCCAGCACGGGCAGCATCCAGGCATCCACCTGCAAAACACGACTCCAAACTCCCCCGAGTCCAGAGAAAAAACTCCATCTTCCCAAAGCGAGCGCGTGCCAGGGATTTTTTTCTTTTTATATGTTATTTTAAAGACCATATATTTGCCACCGAGATGAAAGCGCTGAGTTTTGGCCTTTCTGGCCACCTTTTGAAACGGCTCCCGGACAGCTTTGCATCAACAGAATTAATTCCATGAGCAAATCCATTCCAGCCTAATGTCTTGCTACTGCAGAAGTGCGCAACGGCAGCGAACAGGAGATATAAGCTCTTAATTAAAAACAAAGAGAACCTCTATCCCCCAAGGCCTTTATTTCAACAGCTCTGGTTAGGGAGACCGTATTTTTCATTTTCCCAATAAAAACAGCTACGAGCCGCAACTCTTTGAAGACCCTCGTCAAGGCCTTTGAGCTGCATAAAATTAAAAAAGGGAAAAACAGCTCCATTTCATTTTGCAGAGTATAATTTTGAGTTACTGTTAGTGGTAGGAACCCAAGAGGTGCCATGAGGGCTGCGATGGGGCACCCAAACCCCTGCTCACGTGGATTCCTGCCCTGCTCCTTTCCCCTCTGCCTTCCCTCAACTCCCAGTTTGGGTCCAAACACCAGAAGAGGACAAATCTGCTGAAGAAGGCAGGGCAGCAGGACCGACACGTGTAGGGTCAGTCCCTGACACCTCTCCTTCTCGCTCCTCAACCAAAGCATCACTCCTGGCCAGGGAGAGACCATCCCAAACAGGCTTCCAGTAAGGAGCACTGAAAAGAAACCAGCTTCTGGGAGCAGCTGAAGAGCTTAGAGAGAGGGTTATGATGAAAACACAGATGGAATTGGCACCGTGGCCATTGTTCGTGGCCACAGTCACACTCAAAGAGTCGCGGTCAATGGCTCAATGTCCAAGTGGTGACCAGTGGTGACCATCCTTGTTGGTGTCATGGAGAGTAGGATTGAGGGCACCCTCAGCCACTTTGCCAATGACACCGAGCTGCGTGGCATGGTGACACGCTGGAGGGATGGGATGCCCATCCAGAGGACAGGCTTGAGGTGGGCCCATGTGAACCTCATGAAGTTCAAACAGGGCCAAGTGCATGGTCCTGAACCTGGGTCAGGGCAATCGCAGGCACAAATCCAGGTGGAGAAAGGGCTGGGAGCAGCCCCGAGGAGAAGGACTTGGGGATGTTGATGGATGAGAAGCTCCACATGCCCCAACAACTTGTGCTGGCAGCCCCGAAACCCCCTGCACCATGGGCTGCACCCTCAGCAGCGTGGCCAGGAGGTCAAGGGGGGGGAATTCTGCCCCTCTGCTCCACTCTGGGGAGACCCCCCCTACCACATGGGGCTCAGAACCCCATCCCCATCCCTGCCACGGGGCTCCTTCCCCTGTTCCTGCTCATCCTGGACACCAGGACACCTCCACCAGAGCATCATGGAGAACCTGGGGAAACCCGGCTGGACTCGGGAGGTGTTACAACTTCCCCAGCCATCGGGAAACACATCCAATCCCTGGAAGCCTCATCTGGTCGATACAAGCTGCTTGAGGACAGAAAAATTCAATCAGGAACGTTGTGTGGCCGTTCTGCTGCAACCTCGGCCACCACCAGCCTCTCCCTTGGGGGGGGGAATCAGGCAGACTTTGCCCTAACACGAACCCTACTGCTGCTTAATGGCTTGTAAGAAAAATAACTCACAAAGAACACAAGGGTTAGAGGCTGGGGAGGAGGTTTGGCAGGAGCTGGCTTGGAAAACCTTGCTCTGGTGCAAAGCCAGCTCATCGGCTGGGAAATCTCCGGGGGGCTGCTCCTCTGAACCCCCCCCTGGACTCCAAAGCAGAGCTTGGGCAGGCAAAGCCCCTTGATTTTCCACCTGGTAAATCAGGGCAATCAGCTCCGAACTCCAGCCCGGCGAGCATTACTCATCCTGAAGTGAAAACGCAGCTCTTCAGCAAAGAAAAAAAAAAAAACAACAAAAAACCACCACCAAGGTTCCTGGAAACCTCCTGGTATTTTGTGTTGGGCTGATGAAAGGCGAAGAATATCCTGCTGCCGCCGCCGCGAAATATTCTTGCCAAGAACCAAGATCCTAGAGGCTTATGCTAAAGACACTGAGACTTATCTTCTCAGGTGTTACAGCAAATATCACCGAGCAGTAAATACCTCCGAGAGCAGCAGAGGAGCGTTTCTGGCTCGTTGGGGCACACGTGGGTAAAAGCCTCTGCTAATCCCGGGGAGAAACCAGCCCCCGCTCCCGGCCACGCTCATCCCATGCCCCATCCCTAAGGATGCACGGATCCTCTGGGACAGGCCACGGGGGGGGTACTGGCCCCTCAGATGCCATCCAGCCCCCCCCTCTCCCTCCCCTGCAGCCCCCCGCGGCGGCGGCTCCCCCCACGCCCTTGCACGGTGGATCAAAGCGGCGGCTCCATCCCGAACGCCCAGGGTCTTCTTTTAAACACATTTTATCTTTAATTAATTCCTTTGAAGCCTTTTGCAGCCGCTATCTCCTCGCATCCAGCGACCCCCCTCTCCTGCACCCCCCCTTTTTGAAGGCAGGGTCACCCCCCAGCGGGGAAGAGAATGTCTCTTGATTATTATTTATTCCCGATACGTTCCTGGCCGGCGGTGGGGAGGGTGGGATGGAGATTTGGCATGATGGGTGCCCACACCAGCACCCACACAGCCCTTCACCTCCTCCCTGGACCCCCCCGGATGGCGATGCCCACCCCCAGCCCCGGGGAGGGGGTGCCCCACAGCACCCACTGCCTCCAAGCACGATGCCAAACTCGCCGTGTACCAGCGATCGAACCACCCCATTAAGAGCTGCAGACGACACATGAAGTCTTCTGTATACAGAAAGCACTTAAAGATTTAATTAAAGACGGCTTTATTCTAATAATACTGAAAGGAGAGCCTCAGACAACCCAGGGAGCGCGATTCATGCCTTCGCCCTGGCGCTCTCTGATTCATTCTCCTCTTTTCTCCTCTTTTTTTGGAGGATGCTCTGCCTCGGCGGAGGAGCACGGAGAGCATCGCCCCGCTGGAAGCTCCTCCAGCCTCTTGCAGCACGCCGGAGTTTTAATTATTTCTCTCTTCCCGTGCTCCACCGTAAAAATGATTATGACAGCCCCCGAAAAAAAAGGGAAGCACATTTTTGAAAAGCATAAGCATAAACTACGCCTGGGTGAACATATTGCGTCCCCATCTGACTGCCATCAGCACTCTGCCAGGCGCCGAGCAGGCAGAGGTGGCACCGGGACAAACACACCTGAGCTGGGGGGGTTACCCACAACATCCCCCCCCCTCCAGCTCTGCCAGTAGCACCCACCACACCAGAGTGGCACCTACCAGCAGAAAAACGGGAGAAAAAAAAAAAAAAAAGAAAGAAAAAAAGCTGTCTTTCTGGGCATCGCAAGTAATCCCCCGTCTGCCTTCTCTCCATCCTACCAGCAGAGAATGTGCTATTTTTTTTTTTTTTTAAGGCTTCTTTTTGCTGCTCGTGAGTCACGCAGACATTGTTTCTGGCTTTTTTTTTCCCCCCCTAATTTTTCAGCGTGGAGGAGCGGGGTGAGAGGAAGATCTCACTGAGCAGGATTGCCTGCACTGCCCACCCGAGCCAGCGCCGCTGCCTCCACCAAGGTGCCCCCCGCCCCATGTGTGCCCTGGGGACCCCCAGCATCACTGGGGGTGCCCAGGAGCAAGAGCAGGCTCCCAGGAGCATGTCCCTTTCGACAGCAACTCCTGTTGGGAGGTGAGGACCCAACGGTTCCCCACCCCAACGGTGGAGAACACTGCACCGTTATCCTGCCAGCAGCACCCAATCATAGAATCATAGAATTGCCCAGGCCGGAAGGGACCTCCAAAGGCCATCCAGTCCGACCCCCCCGCAGTCAGCAGGGACACCCCCAACTAGACCAGGTTGCCCAGGGCCTCGTTGAGCCTCTCCTTGAATATCTCCAGGGATGGGGCCTCAACCACCTCCCTGGGCAGCCTGTTCCAGTGCTCCACCACCCTCCCAGTGAAGAACCCTCTCCTCATCTCCAGTCTAAATCTGTTCCCCTCCAGCTTGAAGCCATTGCCCCTCGTCCTGTCACTGCAGGCCTTTCTAAACAGGCTCTCCCCAGCCTTCCTGTAGGCTCCCTTCAGGTACTGGAAGGCTGCTATTAGGTCTCCCCGGAGCCTCCTCTTCTTCAGGCTGAACAACCCCAGCTCCCTCAGACTGTTCCTCGTAGCAGAGGGGCTCCATCCCCCTGATCATCCTTGTGGCCCTCCTCTGGACCCTCTCCATCAGGTCCATGTCCTTCTTATATTGAGGGCTCCAGACCTGCACACAATACTCCAGGTGAGGTCTCACCAGAGCAAAGTGGCAGACTCACCTCTCTCTGGCCCTGCTGGCAACGCATCTTTTGATGCAGCCCAGGGAACAATCTTGTGGGAACTGGGGTGCTGCTGTCATACTGGGAGCACCCCTGGGGTGGCTCTGCCAGCTCCTGGGGTGACCCCAGCTCCCTTGAGGACCACCCAGACCCCCAGGTTGCTGCCAGCATGAGCTAAAAGACCATGAGTTGGGAGAGCAGCATCCTCCCTGCCCACCCTCCCATCACCCCGGCACCGTGCGGGATGGGGACTGGCGATGCTGGCTGAGGGAAAGGAGAAGTACAGATGCTTTACCTCATCCTAATTTGTAGCCATATGTTTTCCCCAGCGGAGAACAAACGCTTCCAGCCGCTACGGCTTATACAACAGAGCGGAGCAGGGCTTGAGAAATGCACAGCCTGGCACGGGCACGTCGCCAGCGGCACCGGCACTGCCACGGCTGGTGCTTCCAGAGAGCCAAGAGCATCCCCAGGGGTTGGTAGCCCCCCCCATCAGGGGCTTCCCGGGGGCTCTCCTGGGGCATCCAGCACCCACAGAGGAAGGAAAAGCAGATCTGGAGCTCAGGCGCTTTTCAATTTCAATTTAGGGTGGACGGGTTGAGCTCAAAAAGGTCCTTTAGCCCTGAGAAGGAGTTTATCGTATCCACCACTCGGCGAAAAGAGGTTAATTAGCAAAAACTCCCATCCTGGAGAAAGGCCCTAATGAAGGTTTAAGAGCCAGCAGATTAAAGCAGTGGCCCCTCAGGAGGATGTCGGCGGCTGTGGCTCTGCTGGTCTGGTGGCCAGGGAGGGCACTGGTGGCAGAGCATGGGTGGGAATGGGGGCAGGAATGTGGGAATGGGGGCAGAACCTGTGGGAAGGGGGACAGGACCCGTGGAAATGGAGGCAAAAACATGGGAATGGGGGCAGGACCCGTGGGACACTGTAGAGAGGTTGGTGCTGGTCTCTTCTCACAGGGAATTAGTGACAGAACGAGAGGGAACGGCTTCAAGCTCCAACAGGGCAGGTTTAGACTGAACATTAGGAAGGAATTTTTCACTGAAAGAGTGGTCGGGCATTGGAACAGGCTGCCCAGGGAGGGGGTGGAGTCCCCATCCCTGGCTGTGTTTAAGGGCCGTTTAGATGCAGTGCTGAGGGACATGGTGTAGGGGAGGACTTTGTAGAGTAGGGGAGATGGTTGGACTCGATGATCCCAAGGGTCTCTTCCAACCTCAGTGATTCTATGATTCTATGAATGGGGGCAGGAATGTGGGAATGGGGGCAGGACCTGTGGGAATGAGGGCAAAAACATGGGAATGGGGGCAGGACCCATGGGAATGGGGGCAGGTCCATGGGCAGAGCAGCACCAGGAGCTCATCCTCGCCAGACTGAGGCATCCAACACCGACAATCCCCAGCACGTGCCCATGGCCACCCTCCCACGTGCTGCCAACGGAGCATGGATGTGCTGCCACGGGCAGCACCCGACGGAGCCCACAATGCCTCCAGAGCCCACGATGGCCCAAAGCACCAACCGTGACCATTCTGGGAAGACAAGGCTGAAGATCTCATCACACGTCACGCAGCTCACGCCGGCAGTCGTTATCCACCCTCCCTCGCTCATTTACCCAGCCAATTCCAGCGTGGTGTTATTTTTTTATTTTTTTTTTTAAAAGGTGTGTAGGTTGGGAGCCCCCCCCCCCCCCCCCGCTATAAATAACTCCCTTAAGTCAGGAACAACATTCTGGTTGGCTTGTCTCTTTTCCTGCCAAGCCGGGCAGGCTGGGTAAACTAATTGGGATTAAGATTAGGCCATAAAATTCTTTTTTCGATTCGACTCGGGAAAAAAAAATCACTGCGGGCCGGAAAGCAGTCGATGCACAGTGAATAAATTCTGTAAACTATACAACGGTATCCCAGGGTTTAATACCGGCAATAACAAATATAATTTGAAATAAATGGGAAGCAGCTTTCCCATCCATGTCCAGGCAGCAGACAGCGCCGGGGGAAGGCGTCCCCGTGCCCGAGCGTCGCGCTCAACACCATTAAGGGAGATGGGCTGGGGAAGGGATGGCTAATGGGAAAAACACGGCCAGCTCCTGGAAAACGCCTCCGATAAAAGCAATGAATCAGCGCTGCCTCCCAACAGCTCCCCTTTAACACCACAAGCTTTTTTTTTCTCTCTCCCGGCCAGCGCTGCCACCGGGGAAACTCGTGCTGCCGTCACCGCTCTGCCCCAAACCCCCCACGAAACCCCCTCAATTCGCCACCCTCATCCCTGGCATGACCCTACATGTGCTTTCTCCCCCGCTCTGCCCCAACCCCCCCCCCCCGAAACCCCCTCAATTCGCCACCCTCATCCCTGGCATGACCCTACATGTGCTTTCTCCCCCGCTCTGCCCCAACCCCCCCCCCCCGAAACCCCCTCAATTCGCCACCCTCATCCCTGGCATGACCCTACATGTGCTTTCTCCCCCGCTCTGCCCCAACCCCCCCCCCCCGAAACCCCCTCAATTCGCCACCCTCATCCCTGGCATGACCCTACATGTGCTTTCTCCCCCGCTCTGCCCCAACCCCCCCCCCCCGAAACCCCCTCAATTCGCCACCCTCATCCCTGGCATGACCCTACATGTGCTTTCTCCCCCGCTCTGCCCCAACCCCCCCCCCCCGAAACCCCCTCAATTCGCCACCCTCATCCCTGGCATGACCCTACATGTGCTTTCTCCCCCGCTCTGCCCCAACCCCCCCCCCCCGAAACCCCCTCAATTCGCCACCCTCATCCCTGGCATGACCCTACATGTGCTTTCTCCCCCGCTCTGCCCCAACCCCCCCCCCCCGAAACCCCCTCAATTCGCCACCCTCATCCCTGGCATGACCCTACATGTGCTTTCTCCCCCGCTCTGCCCCAACCCCCCCCCCCCGAAACCCCCTCAATTCGCCACCCTCATCCCTGGCATGACCCTACATGTGCTTTCTCCCCCGCTCTGCCCCAACCCCCCCCCCCCGAAACCCCCTCAATTCGCCACCCTCATCCCTGGCATGACCCTACATGTGCTTTCTCCCCCGCTCTGCCCCAACCCCCCCCCCCCGAAACCCCCTCAATTCGCCACCCTCATCCCTGGCATGACCCTACATGTGCTTTCTCCCCCGCTCTGCCCCAACCCCCCCCCCCCGAAACCCCCTCAATTCGCCACCCTCATCCCTGGCATGACCCTACATGTGCTTTCTCCCCCGCTCTGCCCCAACCCCCCCCCCCCGAAACCCCCTCAATTCGCCACCCTCATCCCTGGCATGACCCTACATGTGCTTTCTCCCCCGCTCTGCCCCAACCCCCCCCCCCCGAAACCCCCTCAATTCGCCACCCCCATCCCTGGCATGACCCTACATGTGCTGTCTCCCCTGCTCTGCCCCAAAACCCCCCCCAAAACCCCCCCCCATCCCCCCCCCCTCCCCGGCCTCGC